ACAGGACCATCCGTATAATGAGGTAACCTGAGGTGGTTGCCTCAGACAGCATCTTATTGTGGGGTGGTGGGGGTGTGGCAGTGGGGCACCCACAGTGTCCTGGGAGCTGAGCTGGATGCACTGGCTGGTGTCTCAATGAGCTTCCAGCAGCCAGTGACATCAGTGAGTTGGGAAAGACACAGCATTACCCCCACCCACCCACCGAACACAAATGAGCACAACAACCAAGAACCACACTTTATATCTGCCTTGAATTCAGGAGAACATGCACATTAAGATTCGATTTTCTCAGAGTTCTGCTTTAAGTGCATGTTCTTTTTTTTAAACAGCAAGTCACCTCAATTTCTTGCCATATGCTTGGCAATTTAAGTCAATTTCAACCACTTTCCAACCTCCAGAAATCAAAAAAAGAGAGGCAAGTAATCACCATGACCTACCACAAAAAAAGTTTGATTGTAGCAGTTGGTCGATAGTAAAGATAAAATAGATGAACAGTTAAATACAGTTTACTGATTGAATTGAAAGCCGAAAAAAAAATACATCAATGCCTTCTAAAGCAATTTGTTTTTTGGTCAGGCAATTTCGATTCCTTCCTTTATGTCCTAGATTGCGTTGCAATTTTAACAAAAAACGGAATTGAACATTTGATCGCCGTATCCAACTGGCATATGTATGGCCAGCTTTACACTTGGGGAATTATTTACTGTGAAGCCAAGTAAAGCGATCCTGAGTTTTATGTACTAAAGTAGAAAGGAGGGAAGTGAACCTGTGTCTCTTTTAAACACCCCATCTCACATAAGGGACCTTTAAAAAGAAAAAAAAAAGCAGAGTTCCCCATTTACACAAAGGGATGTGAGGTCAAAGTGATTGTACTCCAACCAAAACTGATACCTTTCCCACACTCCTCACCTCCCTGTTTCCTGGTATATCCAGTGAGTTACCCATTAGCTTGGGAGTATATATGGGAATATACATCCCGAAGATTTTCAATGGGGTTAAGGTCTGGACTCTGTGGTGGCTAATCCATGTGTAAAAATGATGTCTTTTGCTCCCTGAACCACTTTTTCATAATTTGAGCCTGATGAATCCTGGCTTTGCCATATTGTCATTGGGAAGAAAAAATCCATTGATGGAAAAACCTAATCATTCCATATATTCAGGTAGGCACCTGACCTCATTATGTAGGTACATATCATTGCTGAACCTAGACCTGACCAACTGAAGCAACCCCAGATCATAACACTGCCTGAAATCTAGGTGGTGAAATTTTTTGGGCTAGGCAGTGCATGACTTTCTAACACATTCCAAGTGGTTAATCACCAGGCCCAAACATGGTTTAGTGTGGTGGGTTCTTAACCCATTGTAAATTGGAATTTGAATTCTGCAGGCAAACAAGGTAACAGGGGAGCCTGGGAAAGGTGAACCTGTTAAATTACTTTAACGGAGCTAATATATCATCACTTTAGGTTTTAGTTTTTTTTAAATGTCCAATCAAGAGCAGAAGTTTCTTTTTTATAAAATCCCAAATCCCCTGCAACATTGGCTGAATGTTGAAAGCAAACAACATTTTGTGTTAATAAAGTGGGTTGAGGATTGAGATGTGGGTGGGAAGAGTTTCACTGCTAGATGGAATTAGATTGTATGTAATGGGTAGTTCATTATTTAGATTCCAGAGAAAGAAGAAAATGAGGTCAGTTTACAAAAGGAGTTGAGAATCTTCACACAATGACTTCCTTAAATGTTCACTTCAATTATCCAATCGGGTTAAAAGCAAATTCATCTGCACATGATTGGGTATTCAAAGTGAACAGGAATTTATTTTGATTCTCATACCCCTTTGGTAAATCACCTAAGTTGTCTTAGACAGCTTTCAGTAGCACTTTATAGGAGATCTAAAGTCACAGCTTACACGTTCCTTTTACAACATTAGCATTGTAATACGGTAGCAATACAAAGGATAATTATTTTTGATAATCCAATAAAAGCTTACTAGGAAAATCTCCTTTCATGTTGACTGCTATCTGCTGGACATCTCTTTCAACAGCTTCCTGGATTCCCTGAATGCTTTGCTGCTTCTCTGCTCATTCATACATATTGTATGGTGCCTTGCTGCCTCCAAGGAATGATGATGTGGGGTAGTGCCTGTAATGACTGTGCCTCCAGAAACACCTCCACTTCAGCACCTCTGTAGTTCAGAAGGCAGGCCCTGTGAAATGGGTGACACAGCAGAGCATATTTACAGGGCATAGTGCATATCGTCAATGTGCAAATTAATATGTGAGTTTGCATTGTGACCGTAGATAATAGCTATAGATATACTGTATGTATGAACATTTACTGTTCATTTGCAGCAAACACAAAAGCCTTTATTTTAGCTTTCAGTGAACTAATGCTTGCCTCGAACTAATATCTCATGATATTTAAAATCTGGGTCACATAGTTGGATAGTGATACCATGAATTATTTATGTCTAATATTACTTTACTTTAACTATAGAGATTCATATCCAGGCAGGGTAACCATGGAGACGTCAGTGGGATCCTTGGGGATGCATTCATTTACAGCAATTGTAACTCATAAGGAGATCATGTATCCAGTGCAAACTGTCTTTCATTTTTCATAACTATGCACTGTTCCATTTCAATAATCCATACTTTAGATGCACAATGCAATAAAAGCTTTAGAGGCTCTTTCACAAAAGACCCCAGCGATTGCCCTTTTATCTGAAAATCATACGCCACTTCCCTGGATGGTGAAATCTATGTAATATGTACTAATGCACAGCTACATGCACACTGCTTTGATTTAATTAAAAGCCATTGTAATTTTACAGAGGGGTGAGGGAGCCATTCAGATGTAATTACACACATGTAATTTTCTGCTTTCAATTCATATTTGCAATGGATGACAGCAATACTTTTCCTTATGTTTATTGATTCTGTCTATATGATTTTACCTGTCATTGTCATTTTTGTATGCCATACGTGGTGTGAAAATCAGTACACAGGGTGATATTGTTGATGGAATTAGTTATGGTTTTGGAGTATTGTAAGTAGCAGTTGTATTTCAGGGGTTCGGTTCTTTTTATTTAAAGCATATCTAACCCAAGAACTAAAATATAATATATAGCGGCTTGACAGCCCTTGGATGTGCTGACTGCATAAGGTTTTTTCAGGCTGGGGATACTGCCAGTAACACACTTTCAGTCCTAGGGTGACAACTCTCACTCACCATACTGTACCTATAGAGGAACAGCGTTTTCATCCCAGGGCAGGTCTACAGAATGCCTCCCCTCTTCTCTATACATGGTGGAGGTGCTTTGTAGTCCACATAGATAGCTAGGACAATACTCAACAGGAAGTTATCAGCTCACAAGAGTTCTGCCAGGATCAGCATCATTTGTTTGTGCTTATTGAACAGCACAATGCACTTTAATACGTAGAAGTTTATTGTTAGTGTTTGCATACACTTTAAGAGGAATGTAAATGACCCTAAATATTACAAAGTAAAACAAAACTGTAAAAATATTTACATTATATATACACTGAGTGGCCAGATTATTATGACCACCCCATCAGTACTTCGTTGGGCCACGAGATGACTCCACGAGATGACTTTGTTGGGCCGCCTCGTGACTCCACGAGATGTTGAAAGGTGAGGCGAGGAATCTGACACTGCACTGTTGCCCTTCTGTTGTCTTGTACCAGTCTTGCCACTCTCCGTTCTGCCCTAACATTGACTAGTCGTTGATGGCCACAATTCGTACGTTCAGACCCAGATTTTCGGCTGACAGTCCAGTCTTTAAACACTTTAACAACAGCTGCTCTTGAACATTTAACAAATTCTGCTGTTTTGTTGATACTCGCTCCATGGCTCGCGCCAACAATCATCCCACGTTCAAACGCTGTTAAATCGCATTGTTTACCCATATCTTCAGAAAAAAATCACTTCTACTGTCGTGGTAAACAACCTGCTTCCCTATTTATAATGGTCTGGCCCTCTAGCAACTTCAGCGTGAAATTATAGCTAATTATAGCTAATTTGCCTACAAACGTCAGGTGGTCATAATAATCTGGCCACTCAGTGTACATAGTCAGCAAAGCCCAAATCTCCATTTTTTGCTCAAGCTTACTATGATTAAACAGCAGATGACAGGTCAGGGGAAGGAAGGCTGTAAAAAGTGAATGCTCCATGATTCTGTTCAGGATGTAAGTGCACATTAGGAGGAGCAGCAGTTATTCAGGGGTTCTATCACAGCTACAGTATCTCCACCTCTTCAGATGTCAGTAAATGCCAAGTAGGTATCCAGACCTCAGGAGTTTTTCCTATTATGGGGGTTATCATTTGGGTTAATAGCTTGTTGTCGTTGTTAGGAAAACATACACAGTACAATATTTCTTATAGTACTATATCATCTGCTTGTCATTTTTAATAATATCTGTTTTGGTACATGTAAGTCTAAAATGGTGATAGCACACAATGGCTGCTTTAGTTCTCTGTCAAATATCCAGCCTTTTGTTCCCAATGAACAATATATCCCTTAAGGGTTGCAAAGACATAAAAAGATCATATCTATTCCTCCTTAACACCAGTGGCGATCATCTCTTTGATGATCACCACTTTGAAATTTCACATTGTACACAGTTATCAGGTGGATTTGGGTCACTGATACTTTACTTTGTTATTTATTTACAATGTATAAATATTCTCTATATTAGTTTGTATTACTATTTACTTTAGTATTATGCTAACTCACTAGCTTTGGTACTATCTAAGTCACTTACCCGCAACAGGTATGCAGATTAGGAAAGCCAGATAATAGTCAGAATTCCTTGTGTACATACTTGTTCTGGGGGCAATTACCATTAAGCCCTAAAGGTCAACATGATAGCCAAGTAACTGGTATTTGTAGAATGAAAGTCAATGGTAGAAGTCTCCATGGTTTCCTTCAATTGTCCTCTCTTAGTCTTATCACCGTATGTGTAACTTTTTTTTTTCAGAATGCAGAGGCAAGCTTTGACTTCAGCAGCAATGACCCTTATCCATATCCACGCTACACTGACGACTGGTTTAACAGGTACTGTGAACTATGGATATGTACAACATACAGTACATACATATATTTGTGTTTTCCTAGCTTTGTCTTTATACTTAATTTGTCATATAGACTTCATGTAAGAATTAGCTTTGAGTAGCTAGACCCACGTCCTCTTTTGCTCCTTTCTCACCAGAAGTCCCCCCCTCCTTACGTCAGGAGTCCCCTTCACTATAGAGTTCCCGTTTTTACATCAGGATCACCCCCTTCATATCAGAAGCCCCCCTTCACATCAGAGACCCCTCCCCTCCATTTTACAAACAAATCCCTATTTTACATCAGAGGCCCCCCTTCTCATTAGAAGCCCCCCCACATCAGAAGCATCCCTTCACTACAAAGTCCCCCCTTCACATTAGAGCCCCACCTTTTACATCAGAGTCCCCACTTTCACATCAGAGTCTCCACATCAGGAGCTCCCTTCACAGCAGAGTCCTCCTCCATTTCAAATCAAAGCTCTCAGCCCCCTTTATATCAGAGTCCTACCTTATAATCTGCAGCACAGCTGCAGCAGCATGGCAGAGGGAAAGAGGTGGGGCACGTCTGTCCTCTTCCTAAATTCTGGGGTGTCCCTGGTTGCCACCCACCATATATTGACATCATGCATTTCCATGGTGCTGTTGGCCAGCCCGCTTGCACCACAGAAACACATGAAGCTACGCAAAACTTGTATGGCACCCCTGACAAAGCTAGATACCACTCCAGGGTGCCCCTGGCATCCTGACTGAGAAAGACTGCTTTAGAAAGCATCTATAGCCTGCATAGAAAAGTCTGTCCCCTGCCAGTATGCTGCAGAGAAAGACCCTTGCTATGGAAGCAGTGATCTCTCAGCAGAGGTCCTACACATCGCCTGTTGAGTAACAGCCAGAGATTTCCAATCAGCAAGAAACTTCATTTTGAACTAGAACCATTTAAACAATAGTAAAACTCTGCACATGCGTTCACATATGCATTAAAACCCATAGATGTGAATGGGCCATAAATATTCTGCTCCCCAGCACCATTTACTCATATTTGCTTTACTACTGCTATACTGATAAAGATACAGGAGCAGAAGAAGTTCTCTGTAAGCTACAATTCATGGCTAACACAGGGCTATAGACTCACCCACAGTGCTGGTGCTTCTTATCCCTGTTGTAAACACTGATACAAATAAAAAAATCTAAGGAGGTAAAATTAAGTAAATTTATTCTAAAATAATACCAAAAGATACATACACATAATACACCACCACACGTGTAATACACATATAAGCATAATTACTATGCACAGATATTCATTAGACCCTTCTTCCACACAGTAAAAAATGAGGAATAGTTTTAGGGGCATCATTTTAGTAGATTGATTTAGAAGATAAATGTATTTATGTGTAATAGTAAAGGTGTTTAGTGTAAGTAGTTTTTTCCCGGTCTTAGATTTGCACTATTTTGTGAGTAGTAGAGTCTTATACTTAGTTAGCCATTAATCAATGCGGAAAGTTTGTAATTTAAGTGATACCTTTTATTGGCTAACTCAAGTTATTAAAGCGCAAGATTTTGGGACCCTATAGGTCCCTTCTTCAGTGTATAAAGCAGGGTAGGAGGAAGGATGGGAAGGGGGTCATATATTGCCTGGAGTGGGGCTTTAAAGACTCGCCATGGAGGTCAAAGTGACAGCATCTCTACAAAGGACCCCCCCCCTTCCCGACCCTTATACTCACCTTGCAACATTGCCTCGCAACTTCTTGCAGACTGTCAACCAGATTGAATGTGATTATTGCAATATCCCCAGGAGGACAAAAAAATGTGCTTTAATTTCTTCTTTCATACTGACTATAGAGCATTTTCAAAAATGGCAAAATGAAATCTAACAATTTATGCCAATATTTCAAGTAGGGATGAAAGTATTTTTATCGGTGCTGATACCAAGTATTTCCCAGCTAATCAGCATGGAGCCGGCTTCCCGGGCAATCAGGAAGCCAGGCGGCATGTCATTACGTGCTGCCTGGCTTTCTGATTATCCGGGAAGCCGGCTCCATGCCAGTGGAAGCACAGGTATCGGTACTCAGTATCGGCGAGTACCGACAGCAAATTATCAGTACTTGTACTCGATACCGAAAAATTGGTATCAGTGCATCCCTAATTTCAAGGAAAGGAAACTGTTTTTTCCTGTTGCTGATAAAAAGAATAAGGATGACAGTCCAGTGATGGACAGACAGCAGAGCTGTGTTAACTGTGTAAAAGGACTTCTATACAGTAAATCACACACTGTATTCCATAATATGACACATAAAATATCTACTCAGAAAGTTTTTTTTTTCTTTTTTCATATTTTGCCGACACAGCCCCTTTAAAACACCTGAATTCAATTAGGTTACTTGCCTGTCTGTTAATGTCCCTCTATGCCAGTGAGGCCAGAGCAAATGTCCCTTTTCCCCTGTATTAAAGCAGCCCTGTCTATACATCCTGCACCGTTTTGCTGCATTCTATTGTATTATAGCTGAATCTCTTTCCTACAGTTTCAGAACATGATCTTTTGTTCCAGTACTTCAGTTTCCATGGTAAAATTAACAGATCTGTCTTATCTACAAAGTATTCAATTGAACTAACAAAACAAAGAGGCAAAGTTGAACTAAAAAGACACATTAAAGGAAACCTGAAGTGTGAAAAACACTGACGCTGCTATTGATGAACCTCTCCTTGTAAAAGTGCTAGTTTCCTGGCTATCACACTAACCCACTGGCTTCTTTATGTCTATGAACTTGAACAAGTATAACCATAGACAGATTTGCTGGTACCCTTACAGTTTCTGTTTTCATTGAAACAATGCTTCATTCCTCCTGAAAATTTATGAAATTAAAAGCAATTGTTTCATGCCTTTGGTATGCCAATAAGTAAAGCAAAGAAAGTGTGAAAATAAATCAATTATTGCTGATTCTACAAAGATATTTCTAAAATGGCCCGGACCGATTTGTTGTTACAGCTAGAATAGATTATAAAGAATTGGAATAGTGACATTTCAAACTGTTTTCTGTTATTAGTCAGTCAGCCTATTTAAATGGAGCAAAGTACTCCCTGAAGTTTGGTATTATTGTGTGCATCACACTGAGAATGGACCAGAGAAGCAAAGGAGAGAGTTGACTGAGGAAATCAGAAAGAAAATTATACACAAGCATGTCAAAGGTGATAGCTATAAGACCATCTCCAAGCAACTTGATGTTCCTGTAACTATAGTTGCAATTATTATTAAGAAGTTTAAGGTCCATGGGAGTGTAGCCAACCTCTCTGGAGGTGGCTACAAGAGGAAAATTGACCCCAGATTGAACAGAAGGATAGTGTGCATATAGACAAAGAACCAAGGAAAATGTAGAAAGCGATACAAGCTTAACTTCAAGATCATGGCACATACTGCCTGATCGCATCATCTGTTCAATGTTTTAAATGACAGGAGGCTTAAAGGTAAAAGACCCAGCAGAAGAACATAAAAAAAGCTAGATTGGAATTTGCTAAAATCAATATTGGCAAGACCCAATGCTTCTGGAAGAATGTCCTTTAGACAGATGAAACAACACTAGAGCTTTTTGGCAAGACATATCAGCTCTATGTTCACAGATGGCATACCTACTATAAAACATGGACGATACTCAGTTATGTTTTGGGGCGGGTTTGCTGTGTCTGGTATGGAGTTCCATGAATCTGTGCAGGGCACAATAACAACTTAAGATTCTAAAGAGATTCTAGAGCAAAACATATTGCACGCTGTCTCAGTTGCACGGGTCACGGGTCCTCTAACAGGATAAGGACCCATAACACACAGTTAAAACCACCCAAGAATGGCTAAGAACAGAACCTTGGAGTTTTCTGAAGTGGCTGTCTATAAGCCCTGATGTGAATCCTATTGAACATCTATGGTAAGAGCTGAAATATGCAGTCTCAAGAAGGTGCCCTTCAAACCTGAGATAGCTGGAGCAGTTTGCGCAAGAAGAGTGGGCCAAACTACCTGTTGGCAGGGGCAAACGTATCATTGAGAGCAAAATAAATCACTTGTTTGTGGTGATGGCCCATACAGGTTGTACAGTAAAATATTAGGTTAAGGGTCCCATCATTTTCACCTTTCCAGGTGGTGAGTTTACATCTCAACCCCTTCCTGGGGGCTTCCCTTTCTTAATCTTTTTTGGTTATTCCCTGTCTATACCATGGCAGATGTGAGCAGGTGAACATTCTGGTGGAGATATCTCACCGTTCCTCTAAAAAATAAGAAGCCAGCATGTATTTCAACTGGCCATCAGCCAGGGAAGACTGCAATGACAATTTTGGGTGGAGTTGGGCTTTAGCCAAGTTACACGCCTTGTAAACTCACAAATAAATCAGTATTTTTTCTTAATAAGCCTTGATTGTGTAAATAATGTGTTTAAACTTTTAAAGTCCAGGGAATCTATGGTATTGAGATTTACAGTGTTAAATTGTGTGTGAAAGGTTCTGCTACAAGGCCTGTTTATGGCAGCTATATGTAAAGTATTATCCTTATTATCATAATCTCACAAATCAATGATCCATAAAATATTTTATTCCCTGTTTACAGGTGACTTATGAACTCTTTAATTACTCCAACCATGTAATAAAGTGCAGGTTAGCATTTTATGTAAAGGCAGATAATAGGTTGTGCCGTATTTAAAGTAGTACTGTTTACCTTTGCTGTGTGCTGTTTAAATTAAAAGCTAAGCAAATAGTGCCAGATAGCTACTATGTCTTCATTAGTGCTAGTTAGTACTTAAAAAAAATAATGAATATATATATATATATATATATAGTTGTATATGGTAGTATTTTAGAAATCTTATGGAATTATTAATCTAACTAAGAGGTTATACGTTTTTGCCATGGACAGTATGTGGAAGCTTTACAGCTTCTGTCAATTTTTATTTCTATCTGCGTCCTCATTCGGCAGATTTGACAGATGTCAGACCAAACAGGAATTGAGAGCAATGTCTACCCTATGATGACACAGCTAGCAACAAAAACATATTTGCTAGTAGAGTCAGGTTTAGAACCTTGGTCTACATTTTATCATTGCCTGTCTCTCCATGAATATATGCCAACTTTCTGAGATGAGAAAGCGGGACAACTTTTAGCACAAAGTATGTAAGTAAAGGGTACACCCCTAGCATATGTTTGATTGGATGAACTTGTGTCTTTTTTCAACTTGACTATGTAGCATGTCCCCAGTTATGCAGGCCAGGTGGAAATAAAACACAAACAATGATTGCATAAAACCAAAAGTTATTTTTTTTAAACCACTACTTTTCCTTTATACTGGCTTTTCAAAATAACAAATGTAATAATTAGAGGTTGGATAAAAAGTTAGGTGTGATGTAACAATTATTTATGAGACAAAAAAGCAGGACAACTGAGGAGAAAAGAGGGGCAGATGGATTTGATTCTAAAAAAATAGACAGTATGTGAAAACTAGGTAAAGTTGGGAGGTGTGGGTTTAAGAGAGATTTCCTGTTACTTCCTGTCTTGATGCTGGGTGTCAGATAGTGTCTGTACACTATCTGACACTCTATTATGTCTGTATAGGGACATAAACTGCATTTAAACTCTCCTCAATAGGGACAGTTTTAACCCTACTCTGCTTTTTAAAAACTGAAAACGAAAGCCTCCACACAAAATAGACCATCATTTTGGAGGAAGACTAATGTTTTCAAGCTAAAAGTGGCATACTAATGAAACTGGCGGCAACTGTAAACGCATCAACCTCCAATGCAACATGACACTGGAGCCTAATCCAGATAACCTTTCCTCCCTTCCCATTTCACAAGCTGCTGTCAATTAAAATTTCACCCACCACCTACCTTAAAATGTACCCATCATCTCATTGAGATTGTATTGCTGGTGGCTCAATAGCTTCTGTTCTAGGCTGCCTTCATCCTGCTGGCTTGTTGCTTTCTAGTGCATGATCTACATAAGTAGACTGTGTGAATAGAATGGGTTTATCTAATGACTTAAGACATTTTCTCCATGGCCCCATTGCAAGTGCCTGGTATGCACCAGAGGTAGTTCCCTATCCGAAAGGCTACATGTAAAACTATGTTGTGTCACATTAGAATTATTATTTAGAATATTGGAGTTCCTCTGGCGATCTCTTTCCTAAACTGACTCTGTGTCGAAATATTGCCTGTTTTCTTCATTCAGGCCAGCACCCAATTCAATGGGAACTTAATGGCTCTCACTTGTTTTAGGACCTGCCCCGGTACATATGATTGTATACCCACCTTGACCTCATTACACTCTAACCAAAGCAACTACTGCATACCTCCCAACGTTTTAAGATGAGAAAAGTGGACAAACCCTGCCACACCCCTAATTTTGCAGACCATTACATATTTATATGCTAAAAATGATTGATTTAACCCCAAATTGTTTTCTTTGTACCATTACCTTTTCTTTAAACTAACTTGTCGAAATAACAAACAAGATAAATAAGAGATAAGATGAAGGCTTTACTGCAGAAAAACACTTTTGGTAGTTAAATAGAAGATTGTCATTGACATCTGTACATCAAACCAAAAGGGGGGACAACTGAGGAGGGAGCCAGGGCAGAGAATGTGGTTCCAGATGATGGACATTTGGAATATTTGACTACTGTAATTACCTTTGCAGTAACTACTTGGTGTATGTTTTGCATTGTTTTTGTCAGGTGTAGTTCACCTTTTTATGGATTGTGTTTACTGTTTTGTTAAAACAGCTTCCTAAATTGACAGATTGAGATTGATTTACTAAAAGAATAGAGTTTTTTCACTTTGAAAAGTGAATGTTCACTTACAGTAGCTTAGTGAAGAAGGTGAAACTGTGTTCACTTTAATCATACAATCATTTTCAAGCAAAAGTCCTTAATTTGCCTTGAGTATGATTGGGATTCAAAGTGAACACAGCATTACTGTATTTACTAAGCTAAGTCAACTTATATTTTTCAGACTGAGCAACCCTTTTGGAGGACTGATATTACCTCTATATGAAACATTTTACTTCAGCTGTATATCAAATAACTGTATTTTTCTGTTTTGATTGCAGCCACGGGACACGCTGCGCGGGGGAAGTATCTGCTGCTGCAAACAATAATATTTGTGGGGTTGGAGTTGCTTATAACTCTAAAGTTGCTGGTATAGTATGATTTATTCATTGTGTTTTCCTCACTTACATTGTTGTTATTTATTGACAGGAAAAAACCTTCCGATAAAGGAGTTATTTTTACTGTTCATACATTTCTAGTTTTGAACGCCATCTACTGTTCATGAAGGGTAAAGGCCAATTAAAGCAACTTGTATCTTGAAATGGAAAAGATTATTAAAGTAATCTGTCATAAGAGAATCTGCGCATTATCATTGCGGTCCTCCCTCCCAAAATGCTGGTTGCCTGGCCATTATTCTGACCCTCAGGTGCTTACCTGGAAAAGTATGCAAATGAAAAAGTTAGGAACCGTTATCTACATACAGGGGTGGACTGAATTCAACCTAAATTGATTTTAAGAGCTGGTTTTAGCTCTTCATTAATTGTTGGCTTTGTAGATTTTATTATGAAAACGGGATCTTCAATTAGGATATTGGATTTTACTGTTTCTTTTGCTGCAGTAGTTCTGTATTGTGTGGCTACAATCCTTTTTAGTGTTCGATAGACAACGTCATTCAGTTTGGGTTTTTGGCCATCATTCTTCTTTGCAGATGAAGTCTTGCCGTGCTTTGTGTACACAGTCATAACCATGGAGACTGATGCTCTTAAGCATCAAACAAAATGGCAGATGCTCCAGGTAAAAAATAATTGATGTGCTCTTTGGAAGTCTGACAAGTCACCCATTTTTCTGACCATTCATATTAATGGCTGGTGGACACAATATATAATATACCGGCATGCATCCTAGAAAGCATGGGCAACAAAAGGTAATTGCAACTTTTTTAAGGTAGCCTACACAATTAAAAGTAAGCCCCAAAATGTTGGTGTTTGCAATATTGTGCCTACTCCTTTTACTTGCTCCAGGTTAGTGACTCAATGTGTTGAATTAAGAGGCTCAGCCTGACTGTCAGACAACTAAGCATTTTGGAAAGGAAAGGTAAGCAATGGAGGCCTCTGTGTTATTTCCATGCTAGGTTTATGTTATTTTGCTGATACTGTGGAAAAAGCCCTAAACAAACCCTGTATCAGGAGGAGTTAGACTTCAAGTTGAGGAGGAATTTAGATGGGAATTACATCAGGTAGACCTCACTGCTGGAAAAGTCCCTTATTTATATAAAAAGCCAGAAACTGACTAAACCTCTAAGACTTGACCAATAACTAAGGTCACTTTTGGGTGGTCTGACAATTTAGCATAATCGTTTGTGTAAGGTCTAAAAATATTAATCTGTCACCCACTTTAAAAAGCAAGCACCCCTTGAGCTTCTGTATAGCAGTAAAGAACTGCTTAAAATCAGGGCAATCTGGTCTGTTAGTAGCCCCCGGTTCCTGGTCCACAATCTCCCATGACTAATTTTGGCCCATCAGTGTGATAACCAATTACAATGA